CATTGCCTCTTAGTTTTGTTGACTCTTTCCTTTGCTGTGCAGAAGCATTTTAACATGATGAAGTCCCAAAAGTTCAGTTTTACTTTTAAAGATGTGTCTTGAAAGAAGTTGCTGTGGCTGACATCAAAGAGGTTACTGCCTATGTTCTCCTCCACGATTTGAATGAATTCCTATAATACATTGAGGTCTTTCATCCATTTTGAATTTATCTTCGTGTATTGTGTAAGAGAACGGTCTGGTTTCATTCTTCTGCATGTGGCTATCCAATTTATTGAAGAGACTCTTTTTTTGATTGGATATTCTTTCCTGATTTGTTGAAAATTATTTGACTGTAGAGTTGAGGATCCATTTTGGGGGTCTCTATTCTGTTCTAATGATCTGTGTGTCTGTTTTTGTGCCAATACCATGCTGTCTTGATGATCACAACTTTGTAACAGAACTTGAAGTCAGGCATCGTGATGCTCTCAGCTTTGGTTTTCTTTTTCAGGACTCCCCTGGCAATTCAGGGTCTTTTCTGGTTCCATAAAGATTTTAGGATTGTTCATTCCAGCTCTGTGAAAAATGTCAATGGTATTTTGATAAGGATTGCATTGAAAGTGTAGATTGCTCTGGGCAGCATTGATAGTTTAACAATCTTTATTCTTCCAATCCATGAGCATGGAATGTTTTTCCATCTCTTTGTGTCTTCCTCAATTTCTTTCACAAGTATTCTGTAGTTTCTAGAATATAGCTCCTTTACCTCTTTGGTTAGGTTTATTCCTAGGTATCTTATGGTTTTTGGTGCTATTACAAATGAAATCAATTCCTTAATTTCTCTTTCTTTAGTTACATTGTTAGTATATAGAAATGCAACTGATTTCTGTGCATTGATTTTGTATCCTGCCACATTGCTGAATTGCTGTATGAGTTCTAGTAATTTGTGGATGGAGTATCATGTCATTTGCAATGAGAGAGAGTTTGACTTCTTTGCCAGTCTGAATGCCTTTTATTTCTTTTTGCTGTCTGATTGCTGAGGCTAGGACTTCTAGTACTATGTTGAACAATAATGGTGATAGTTGGCATTGCTGTTGTCTCCTGACCTTAAAGTAAAAGCTCTCAGTTTTTCCCCATTGAGAATGATATTCACTGTGGGCTTTTCATAGATGTTTTTATGATGTTGAGGTATGGCCCCTCTATCCCTGTACTTTGAAGAGTTTGAATCAGAAAAGGTTGCTTTTATTTTATCAAATACTTTTTCTGCATCAATTGAAAAGATCATATGGTTCTTTTCTTTTATTAATGTACTCTATCATGTTCATTGATTTCTGAATGTTGAACCACCCTTGCATCCCAGGAATAAATCCCACCTGGTAGTGGTGAATGATCCTTTTAGCACCCTGTTGGATCCTATTGGCTAGGATCTTCTTGAGTATTTTGGCATCCATGCTCATCAGGTATATTGGTCTGTAATTCTCCTTTTTGATGGGGTCTTTGTCTCATTTTGGGATCAGGGTAATGCTGGCTTCATAGAATAAATTTGGAATTTTTCCTTCTATTTCTATTTTGTTTTTTTTTTTTTGAAACAGCTTCAATAGAATAGGTATTATTTCTTCTTTAAATATTTGGAAGAATTCCCCTGGGAAGCCATCTGGCCCTGGGCTCTTGTTTGTTGGGAGATTTTTGATTACTGCTTCAATTTCCTTATTGGCTGGGGGGTCTGTTCAGATTGTCTATTTCTTCCTGTTTCAGTCTTGGTAGTTTTTAAGTTTCCAGGAATACATCTATTTCTTCCACTCCTCTTTCAGACTTCAGTTCCACTATCAATTTTTCAGGGGAAAGCCTTCCCCAGCTTGCCAGTTGAAGTCAGGTTGGTTTGACAGCCATTCTCATAGAACTGTGTTGCTTTCCTTTAGAATGCTTATCCTTCATTAAAACTATACATCCATTTGTTTGATTATTTGACCAAATGCTGCTTTCCCTATTTGACTAAAAGTTCCATGAGAATACAGCTTGTATCTATTTTTGCTTGCAACTTATTCACCACTTAATGAAATGTCTTGAACATAGAATTATTAAATAATTATTTTTTTAGTGACTGGATGAATCAAACTGGAATAACTGCTCCCCAATCATATTCATTGGGTTTCCTGCCCCCACGCTTCTGTCATGCTCTTCATCCCATGTGCAAATCTATACCCACATTTTATCTTCTCTACATTTTATCTAATCTTATAGACTCATATGAATGGGTACTTTCTTGGTCTTTGGAAATAAACATCATCTCTGCCTTCTTTGGAAACTGTAGCACTTAGGCATCTGTTCTCTTGCAGTACTTGGCATTGCTATCGATAGATTTTTGCCTCTTATGCTCTTTATCAATTCATATGTTTCTGGAGGGCAAGGCTTATTCATTTCTCTTTATGTCACTTGCAATAACTAGCTCATTTCTCAGAGGCTTAATTAATATATTTTCCTTATTGATTAATATGAGTAAAAGCTAAACACATATTAAAAGCTGAATTAATATTTATAGAAATAAGGAAAAATTATTGGCACTTGTTAGTTCTACTGATTTCCAATGAGTAAACAAAATTAAATTACTAAATAGCTGTACAGACATGGTTCCAGAACAAATGCCTTCTGTTCTGACCATTTATTATTATTTAATAGGTTTATTTGTTGTACATGGCAAAGTCATTCTAAAATTGTTAGATTCAACTTGCTTTTTTACTTTTCACTATTCCTTGCTCAGTAAATTACAATGAAGACCAACTGATATTCCAGTAGAATTATTATTTTTTTTCTCGCTAAAGAATTGAGATAAACTTTTTCATAGAATGGAACATTAAAATAGGCATTGAAGAACGAATTTGAGAGAGGTAGCAGGATGGATCAGGATGGTGGGGTACGACATGGGTTGAACTAAACACCTGAAGACCATGAGACCAGTTGTTAAGAATAAATTGCCACTGTTCCAAAAAGAAAAGAAAGAGAAAGGAAAATTGAAAAAAAAATTTCAAAAAAGCTCCATAGAACTTAAGAAACCAACAATTGGTTGTGACTTTACAATGCTTAAAAACAAACAAACAAACAAAAACCCCACAGAAGCCAACTATATTTTCAAAGGAGAACATCTCCTCTTCATTCTCCCCAGGCTCACTTACAGTTTTTGGCTCTGGGCTAATGGGCTCAGCTCTGCCACAAAGCTAACATTTGTCTCTTCCTTCTCCTGCCCTATCTGTAAAGACATTCTGGAGGCCTCTACATTTAGGTAGAGAACTGCTGGGAATTTCTGTGCCCCCAAACAGTGGAAATCAATGCAATTGAATTAACTTCTTTAAACAATTATTGAGTACCTGGCATGTGCTGGGTTTTCTAGTAGGTACTAGAAATTCGGAGGTGAACAAGAAATTACCCTTGCTATGAAAGAACTCACAGTTGGGTGGAGTAGGTAGGAATATTCAAACATCATTCTTCAGTAAGACAGACTGTAGACAGAGCTAACAAATAAAGTGCCACGGGAGCACAGAAGAGAGATACCTATTTCTGTTGTGGGATTCATTGAAGTGAGTGGGAGTAAAGCTGAGTATGGGGGCACATAGCTGATTTCCCATCATTTATTCACATTTCTCCTCCTGCAGTGGGTGACATGTGATTAGTGGGATTGATCCCATCCTGATGCCACGAGTGAGTGCTGACTGGTGAGCCAGTAACCCTCAAAGCAGAGATGGTACTACCCTGCCAGAGGGCATTTGGAAATCCACAGGGACACTTTTAGTTGTTATAAGGCTGAAAAAGACGCTATTAGCTTTTAGTGGACAGAAGCTAAGAATGTTAAATGACCAATAATGTAGGAAAGGGACCCAAATCATGAAAAATTGCCCCACCCAAAATGCCAGTAGTACTCCTGAAAAACATGAGTCTGAGACAATCAGAAATCTCATCCTGTATTGGGTTGGGAGTCCAACTTTAAGCCAATTAGCTCACAGCATTTCCCCATGTCATTGTGGTCCAATTAGTATAAGGGCTCTGGACTTCTTTTCAATGGGTTTAGGTAGACAAGCATCCTTTCTGTCTCACTGGGCATGCAGGAGGAAGCCTGCAGCCTCATTTCATTCCAGCTTAGACAACTTCCCATTCAATCTACACAATCTAAATATGTTTAGGTGGTTGGTCTGCTTGCTTGATTCTGCATTTTTGTTATTGTTTTTCCAAGTAAATTATTTGAATGGCAGGAATGTTGTTGTGGTATCAAGTCTAAGTAAGACATAACATATGTGAATAATATTTTGTTTTCATCCCAGAGCCTTGGAAGGCTATAAAATTCATAATATGGCCATAAAGGGGAAATGACGGTGAAAAAAATGGTCAAGTGTATCATTTATGGTATAATGAAGAATGGAAATGGTGTCTGGTGAAAGTTGTGAGAACCCAAGTTTAAACTTGCAATTGTGTTTGTGTGTGTGTGTGTGTACACACACCCATGTGCCTAAAAGAAAAGGAGAGGGAGGAAGGGAGGACAGAGTGCTATCTTCATGAATAACACTATTTAGGAATTTGTATCTTGTTCTTTTAGGAAAGATTCTGTCCCTTTCGATTGCAAAATCTCCTCATTAAAGAAAGCTAAAAGAAAAGATTATTAAGCACTGGTTACTTAATCAAAGTCCATTAACGTGTTCTAAGATGTTTTAAGTTGTGTTTAAAATGGCTCTGTTTTTATGCCTATTAATAACTCTCCTACTGACATAAGATTAGTTGGTAGTATTCATAGCTAGAAAATATTTTCCTACATTTTCAATAGTTACAGTTTAATAAGAACAAAGAGGGAAAAGATATCCAATTACATTTGAATTAAGAAAAATTAATAAGATATGGAAATAATGCACAAGTTAATTTTTAAACACCCAATTTCCCTCTTGCAAAACCTTTAGAGAAGTATTTAGATTTCCAGGTGACTAAACTGAAAGCAAACTACATCTGGAAACTGAGGAGGGTGAGAAAGACATAAGATCCGCCAGTACCTGAATACTGGTCAGAGTCGTGTACTGGTAAGCCTTGACCACCAGATAATTTGCTTCCAGGTCGATGAGTCCCAGGATCATATATTTCCACCATCTTCGTCGTAAAATTGCCAGGAGGTTTTCTTCTCCTGTGTCATGAAGGTGAGAAGAAATGGGTTAGGTTCTGAAATATAAACTGTATATTTAGAAGGATTCTAAATTATTGTTGTACTCGATATTTTTCTTGTTCCTTAACAAATGTTCAATTAAACAAATGAATTGTGTCAAAGATTGACATGTTTTTACTTAGCTAATAGTCTTCATTGTAAACTTTGGCTTTTCAAATTGGTTTTTATACCAGAATAAGACTAGGTAGGTTTTTAGTTCACCATGAAAGGCATTTTTCTCATGAACATCTGATGAAAAAAAGTCATATAATGTAAAAATAAAAGGACAGGTATACCAGAAAGGCTGCATAAACATACACAAAGTCCAAATCATTCTAAACTTCAGTATTGTGGTAAAGTAGAAAGAAACAAAATGAGGGTAGGCCAATGGACAAAGGCCTATGCTTGACAGCACATCTGTAGTTAGACTCCCAGATGCCATCCTGAGTGCTTGCCCAGCTTTGAACATTACATGCTTTGAACATTATATTCTGGTGGGGTGTGGGTGATGGGAAAGAATTAAAATAGAGGGTCTCGGATGGACAAGAGCCATAGGATCATGGTCTGAGTATTGCCCCCAACCATAATCTTCACCATCTTGCCTCTTAAGTTTATAACATCAGAACAGATTTTGAATCTCTTAGCTTTTCATCCATATTTTTACATCTTTCAAGCCTGAAAGAAATCTATTTTCTCAAGGGGAAATCATGATTGTTAATAATAACAGCTCTCTGGAGTCAAGCTGTGAGGTCTTCATAGAAGTATGGGATCTGCAGAAACTGAGTGAATAGTGACTGTATCCATTATGATTGCTGCACAACAAATTATCCTAAAACACTGCTGCCTAAAACAATAAGCAACTATTACCTCCTTGTTTTGTGGGCCAAGAGTCTGGACACAGCTTAACCAAGTGTCTCTGATTCAAGCTGTCTCAATAAGCTGCAGTCAAGTTGTCATCCATGGATGTAGTCACATCTGAAGGTCTGACTGGGGAGGGATCTCCTTCTAAACTCACTCAGCATGGCTATTGGCAGGCCTCAGTCCTTACCTCAAGGGCCTGCCTGAAGACATGGCAGTTGATTTCACCCAGGATGAGCACTGGGGGCAAGGGAGACAAAGTGCAGGGGAGAGGGAAAGTACATGTTTTTTTTAATAACTTATCATCAGAAATGGGACTTCTTCCCTATTCTCTTCTTTAAAGGAGGGTCAACAAGTTCAACCTACATTTAAGGAAGAGAATTTTGTAAGGGTGTGACTATCAGGAGGCAGAGATCATTGGAGGTTATCTTAGAGGTTGGCTTCCCCAGTGACACACACTTCTAGTATTTTAGCTGTGCTTAAGCTGGTTCTCAAGAACCTCAACAAACTCCACATCCTCGCCTGTCTCTGAGCCACTCTCAGGACTTTGAACTCCTAATTTCTACCACTGGTCTTATTTAAGTGACCATGATATGAGGTGAAGACCTTTTCAACCTTATATAAACTTGTAAAACAAATCTTTCCAGCTACATAGAGAATGTCGGAGTCTGGGCTGTGCCTGGTTGGCAACAAGGAGAGGGAGGTCTCTGGACCTTTGGTAGCTAACCCAGTTTTCAAGCCTCATTTTGGGAGCCACACTTCTCACAACATTTGCTCCAAGTACACTAAAAATCTTTCTGACTTGGTGAATTGTTAATTCCTGTTGATCCTTCAAAATTTAGCTATTCTCTGCCATTTTGTCTGCTGTCACTGCACCCTTGGCAATGTGTACCCAGTAGATCCTTTCACATGATTGACTACTTAGAAATTTTCTCTTCACAAAACTGAGAGTTTGGGGTTGATAAGACATCAATGTCCTACTCATATATGAATCCAATGCCCTAAGCATACTGACATATAATAAGGATTAGCGAAGTGTTTTGGAATGGACAAATAATTGAACTGAAAAAAAGTGTGAAGTGCTATTTCTCTGAGTATCTCAAGAGTCAGCTCTAGTATATGAGTCACATTTCTTGTGTTTTGCACTGAGATTCATAGCCAGTGGATGCGATCCCCAAGGTCATTTCATTATAGCCAGCTCATTTTGACAGCACCCTTGCACAGCATTTCTGCCTTTCTTATCTGCCTACACATTTGATCAATCAACACACCTCTCAAGATTTACCTTGTAAATTAGTGATTTGCCACCTGACTGAATATTCCCATCTTCTTGAGAGATTTTTAAAAATCTCAATGCTTGGGACCAGACACTCAAAATTCTAGTGTAGTTGGCTTTGGGTGGAGCCTGGGCATTGGGCTGAGGATCAAACTTAGGACTTTCAAATGTTTGATGTCCAGTGGTTATCCTCAGGATGACCTGCGCTAGGAATTTCAGATATAACCGCAAAGTAGTGAATGCTCTTCATACCAAAGAAACACCTGAACATCTGGCCTGAAGTATGCTTTTCCTTGTCTTGTCTCTGGGCTTTTCCCTGTGCTGATTCCTCTGCTTGGACTGTTTTTCTTCCAGTCTCCAAATGAAAGATGAGCATAGACACTAACACCAGGGAGCCTTCCTTGGTCTTCCTAGGGCTGGATTTCCCTGTAATATGCTTCTTTAACACCCTTTGCTTACCCACATACAATACCAATCTCACTGTATTATAATGACCTGTTTTCTTGACCCTATTACTCATTAGATTATTAACAATTTGAAGACAGTAGCATTACCCTGGTCATCACTTTATCTCTAGGATCCAAAAATACATAGTAAGTGGTCAATAACTAATACAAAATGTATGAATAAATTTCATGTTTAATAATCTCAGCAAAGCTAAGTAGATTGAAATTGAGGTACTTAAAATATATCTACTATAAACATGCATGTTCCGGACAATGAAAATTGTTTTCCAGTTAGAATGTAGACAACATCTGACACAATTAATTTGGTGACCATTTTACACATGACATACTATACATAGGACATAAAAAGGTCGATGGCGTATTTAACTGCAAAGCTGCAATTCTATAGTTACAGGTCATTGTCCCAGTTAATTTACACAATGAACAGACAGTTGCCAAACTCAGAGCATACCAGCCACATCTCAATGATGTAAGACTGAAAATCTGGGTCATGGTGCTGTTTGTTCTACCAATCAATAATATATTCAAAGTGTAATTCATCACATAGATTCAAAGGAATGATTAGTTGACTTGCTGTTCTGCTGCAAAAGTCTGCAAAGCAAAACACCTAAATAAATGTTCCATATTGTTCCATATTGTTTGATTTGAAGCACCAGAAAACATACAACATTCTTGCACAGCAAAATTATCCAGGAAGGCAAGAGAGCACTTTTGTATTTTTGGCTGAGCAAAAAATCCAGCCCTAAGAATGACTGCTTAGGGATTTATCTACATGACTCTTATTAACACTGATGTACAACAGGCCATTAAAATTCTTTCTAAAACAATGAAAATGCGTTCTTTACAGCCTTTGTGCAAAAACGCTCCCTAAATCTCATAAAATAGGGCCATCCATAAGAAACACCAGCACAACTGGTGGTATATTAATGTTTTGAAATTCTTTTTTTTTTTCAATTAACTGAAGGAGTAATAAAATCCATGGGTGGAAACTTTAGAATTACAGTTTGCCATTTGCATGCATTCTGTTAATTATTATTTTTATTATCAATATGTTCAAATGTAAATAAAATTATTAGAGAATATTATAATAAGGTAACATGCAATCTGATTTAATAGATGTTAACATTTTGCCATATTTGCTTCATAAATATTGTTTTTTTTTCTGAGGAAGAAATGTTTAAGATAAAACCGAAGCTCCCCTTCTGCTCTTGCCAGATTCTATTCCCTTGCTCCTTCCGCACGTCACTGTCTTGATATTGTTGTGGATCCTTCATGTTTGTGTTTTTGTTATACATTTCGTAGTTACGTTTGTATCCAAAATAGGATTTAACTTCCTTTGGTATGTTTTTAAACTTTAAATGAAAGTTTACTTTAGGGGCGCCTGGGTGGCTCAGTGGGTTAAAGCCTCTGCCTTCGGCTCAGGTCATGATCTCAAGGTCCTGGGATCGAGCCCCACATGGGGCTCTCTGCTCAGCTGGGAGCCTGCTTCCTCCTCTCTCTCTGCCTGCTTCTCTGCCTACTTGTGATCTCTGTCAAATAAATAAATAAAATTAAAAAAAAAAAGAAAGTTTACTTTATATACTGTAGATGTCATTCTTCTAGGTTCTTCTTTTTTTAACGTTTAATATTGTTTTAGAAATGTGTCCCTATTGTTTTGTGTAGAGCTAACTCATTTATTTTAAACACTGTATATTCTCATACTCTCTGAATATGCCAAATTTATCCAGTCTTCCACTAAGAGACATCTAAGCTGTTTCCAATTTTTCTCTATTAGGAACAGCATGGCCAGGAAAGTTACTCTGATTTCAAGTAACAGCATTCTAGAAACAATAACTACTTCACTAATTAAGAACAGGGAAGGGAATTACTGACAATCTTTATCACATCATTCATATTGAATTTTACTAAGCACCAACAGCACGATCAATTAAAAGTGGTTTAGAATTCTAGTAACAGGGAGGAGTCAAGATGGCGGAGAAGTAGCAGGCTGAGACTACTTCAGGTAGCGGGAGATCAGCTAGATAGCTTATCTAAAGATTGCAAACACCTACAAATCCAACAGGAGATCGAAAAGAAGAACAGCAACTCTAGAAACAGAAAATCAACCACTTCCTGAAAGGTAGGACTGGCGGAGAAGTGAATCCAAAGCGACGGGAAGATAGACCGCGGGGGGAGGGGCCGGCTCCCGGCAAGCGGCGGAGCAACGGAGCAAAAAATCGGGACTTTTAAAAGTCTGTTCCGCTGAGGGACATCGCTCCAGAGGCTTAACCGGGGTGAAGCCCACGCAGGGTAAGCGTGGCCTCAGGTCCCGCAGGGTCACAGAAGGATCGGGGGTGTCTGAGTGTCGCAGAGCTTACAGGTATTAGAACAGGGAAGCCGGC